AGAAGCTCTAGCTTTTACAGAGAAAAGTTAACACTCTGACCTGGTAGCTAAAAGGCTTAGCCTCCCTAACGTGCCAAAAACATCGCATTAGTCAGTTTTCCTGTATTGTTCTGGTAGCTGTTGTTTGTGGGCTAGAGGGCTTCCTCAGGATCTGGGTTCTTCCGAAGATTGCTAGAAGAGCATTGCTAGCTGTGGGAATGAGGAAGACGTCCAGTGAGAGTGGGGCAACGTCCAAGTGCTCACAGATGTACTCCTGAACCCTCGCTGCAAACATTAGCAGAAGGACAGGTGCATAATCACCTTGGTGAATATACAGTTGAAATAACTAAGTGCTGTTGAATTGTTTGGCTTTCAGCTCCTGCAGGCGACTCAGGCTCCTTTCGAGCCTTTGTGTTGGAAAGGAAGGGCCACTGTGTTCTTGCAGAGTGTTTGGCTGCGTTGCAACAAACCTGGTTACTGATGCCCAGGCATACTTTGATTGATGCACAGATCAAATGACTGTTGGGAGTGGCTTTTGGGGTGACGTCCCATGTACAATGATGTCAGCAAAAGATTTTAAAAAATTCAGGTGTGGCACGATCTGCCAATTAAACTGATTAGTGCTCTGGCTGAGTCCTGAGAAGAAGGAGCTCTGGCTCTAGAGCCCTGCTTATTGAAGTATTTTATTTGGTGCCTTTGTCTCGCCTCGTACTAGACTTTTACTTAGTACCTTAACTGCAGCATGCTGTAAATTGAGGCAGGATACTGTACCACAGGCAATGTGCTAGCTCTCTTGCTATCTGGGGAAATCTGCTACCAGCTGTCAAATGTCCCTGACTGCTTGGAAACTGTGACACTAGAAGAGGTCCTGCGACTCCCGTGGGATCGGGATGGAGTGCCTTGCTGCTCTGTTGGCAGAAGTCAAAGCTAGCCAGGAGGCAATGCAGGCTGGACAGAAGGAACTAAAGCATGATGTGGAAATATCTCAAAAGGAAATCAGAACAGTGTTAGCGCTGCAGAGGAGCCAGCAACAGGTGAAAGAAGATCTGAAAGCGGAGGTGAAGTCCAGTCATTTGGATATAAGAACTGTGCTTGAGGAAATCCAGCGAGTAAGAGAAGAAATGGAAGCTCGATTAAATACTCAGGCTGATCTTGTCTTACTGATCAAAGAAGTGAGCACCAATTTAACATGTGTAGACAAGGCTTTCCAGAAAATGGAAGAGAGGCAGAAAGTTTTTACCAGCCTGCATCTCCCTACAAGAGAAAATGCTGAGCAAGGATTTTTCTTTGAAAAATGCTTACACAAGACACACATGGGTTTTGAAAAAACTATGGAAGCTCACAGTTTGGATGAGGAATGTGAAAAGAAAGTGCTTAGGGGTAAGACAATGGTGACGGCAAAAGCGTGGGGAGAGGAGTGAGGTTGTTCCTACTTGTGCTTGTCAAGTAGTTCACTTAGGCTATTTGGAATGCTTTTAAGAAATGTAATTTTTTTAGAAATTTAATATCTTGCTTAAAGAGAATAATTTCCAGCTAGCGCAGACATTACTATACCAACCTTCCTAGTAAGTGATAAGCAAAGGAAGGCTTTGATTTGGCTCTGCAAACCGAAAAGTGGGTGATAGATGTTTCGTCTGGTAATCCAGCAGCAGTGCACAAGATGGAGAGGTTCAGGAAACCAGCAGCCAGGCAAGCTCTGAGGTAGCCAGCCAGTCAAGTACAATGTCAAGTACTGTGGAATACCCCAGTGCTTAAACGTAACTTTATGGAACGCGTCCTGATGTATAGGCAGTTGTGTATTTTGTGCTTTTGAACACCTATTAACTAGAGAAGCTATGTATGGGAAACAGTTTGCTTTATGGAAAAGCATGGGATGGGTCTAATATTCTCCCCAAAAAACTAGAGTCAGCTGCTGACATTGTAGAGGGAGTGGCAGGATTTCTGGACCTTTTCCAGGGTCGTGGGGTATTCTTTTTGCCAGCAAGATACTGAATTGTCGGTGAATGATTCAGTGATGAAAAGGCTTAATCTTTGCAAAATCACTGCTAATTTCTTTTTTTTTTTTTTTTACTGGTATGGAGGAGGATAGGATAATCACCTTAGATGGTGATTATGTCTGGTTACTGTGCTACATGCAGTACTTGAGAATCTGATTTCTAGTCTTCAGAAATTGAGCATTTCAACTAGATCAGGTACAGAGTTTTTTGAGACTTTACAAGTCTGGCTGTATAAAGGTGTAAGTAAAAAGGCCAAAGTGAGGAGGATGTAGGCTGCTAAGCAATACTGTCTTTAATTTAGACTCCATCACTGATGTGTTGTATCAGTAATTAGACTCATGATGCTTTTGTTTTAATGAAAGCATGGCTTTTGTTTTGACATCACAGCATGCCTTCTATACAAATCTGGAAACAATCTGTCATTGCCCAGAGGTACATAGGCCATAAATAAGCATTGGAGTGTCACTGGTGTTAATCTGTAGAGGCAGTTCATGCTACAGAGGGTTCATGCTAGCAGAGAAATGCTTTTCAGCATTTTAAGTGGCTGTGTATAGAACATGTCTGTGATAAAATTGCTAACGGGAATGTCACTGAATTTCTCTAGTGCATGCTTTTTGTTCAGCTTTTTTTAGTATAGTATCCAGAGTTGGCTCAGTTGGATGTTTGAATGAGCTTCTAGGAAAAGACTTGGTAGTCTGGACACCAAGATAAAAGCAATGGTGTGAAACAGACAACCTGATAAAGGCTGGCTGAACTCTGGAAAACAGTGGATATCTGGAGTCTTGTGTCACTTGTGGTTAGCTGCTGTATCACCATATTTAAATTAACTAACTTCATTAGGTAACAGTATGGGATGTAATTTTTTCCCAGAATAAAAATTGTCTGCAAACATTTGTTCAAGTTTAACGCAGCCCTGTCAGGGTCCTACAAATCATTGTAAAAGTAATTTTGCATGGTTAATTAAACAATGACATTAGCATCTGTATCAGTGAATTTACCCAGTACCCTTAAATCAAGACAAGTGCTCTAAGTTCTCTATTTATTGTAAGTGGAGCATTCAGGAAGGGAGGTGGAATATATGAGAGAAGTAGGAGTATGTGAGCCAGTAGGGCAGGGAATGACTGACTGTACATGTTTATTCTCTAGTCCCTGCTCTTCTTTTCCTCTCCTGTTTATTATTGTCTCTTGTGATTTTTTTTTTTTTAAAGGAGCTTCAGAAGGTAACCAGTATTTCCGAAACACAGCATTCTCAATAAGATTGCTGTAAATCTGACATGGTTGCTCTCGGATATGAACTGTCATTCATTTAAAGAGGTCTGCTCAAAGGACATCATTGTGCCTGCACTGTGAGGAAAGAAGTGGTCACATTAGTTCAAATGCTGGTAAAAAGAAGCTGCCTAGAGCTGGCAGCCAAGCTTGATCTTTCTTTCCCCTACAGACTTGTATTTTGATTCGGGTTATCATGTTGATGTACCTTTTAACAGCTCTATTAAACTGCAAGATGGTATGTTTCTAATAGAAAATAGAAACCCTTTAACAGTCAGCATCTCTGAGCAGAAGTATAGTAAAATCTCCAAAATACAAGAGCATCTGAACATGATAAACCAATGTGCTGACAATTCTCTAACCGTGAGGGCTGACAGAAAATGCTGCCTAGAGAGAATTTATTTGGAAATTTTAATAGTCTCAGGAGGTACTTTATACCTGGCTCAGTAAGAGAGGCAAAGAGGACACCAGTATTTTGAACAGGAAACTCGTTTTCAAATGCTTTGAAAGCAAGTTAAGGCTGTGCAAGACTGATGTATTAATGCAATAGTTGATGTGTCAGTCAAGCTAACATTAACTGAGAATCAAAGCTTTTGTTATTAATACTGACTCCAGTTGTGTGATTGAACCTTACACTGCTAGGACTATTCCAGAGCTACGTGACAACCTTCAAACCAGGTGCTTGGGCTTCAGAAGGAATTAATGAGCAACTACATCTAGTTGGTTAGTTCGTCCCCTGTTTTTTCTGCATGTTCCTATTTTTCTTTTCTGTAAATCTCACCTCTCAGGTTTTTTCACTTTATCTTGAAGAAATCTTGTTAAGTTGAAACTGTACAAAGTAATCTGCTTAGATGTCTTCATTAAACTGCTAAGGGATATTTATGTATTGCATCAGCCTTTTATTGCAAAAGTGTTTGCTCGTTCCCCGTGCGATCAAACGGGGAAGACTGGCCCTATCTGCACAGCAGCACTGTACTACCTTTCCAGTCTGAAAGCAGCAGAGAAACTTGTAACCTCCGATGTGTTTACAAGTCAGGCACTGGATTATGTAATGTGGTTTCCTCTGACATGAGATGATTGTGTACTGTGAAGGGATTGAGGTTGCAACATAACTAGGAATATTAAATTAACGATGTAATTCTTGGACTGTGAGTGGTGGCAGGGCAAACTTGAAATATATTATGTTTTAGGGCATTTTTTTAAAGTCTCATCCTTGTGGCTGAACTTGCTGACACTAAGAAATGCTGCAAGAATTCTGGTTAATAAAGCTCGAACCTGAGTGGCAGAGAGGGGAGTTTTTGCAATGAAAATTTTGAAAGGAAGAGAAAGACCAAGTAAACGTAGGGAAAATGATTTTGTATTCAGCGATACTTTGGAGTGTAGGAAATAGGAAGTCTGCGTTGCAAATGGAAGTGGTCAGCTCGTGTGTTAGAAAGAAGTTACTCGTGATCTTGCATTTTATGAAAACAGTTACTCAAAGCACAGTGCGAAGAGTATGCTGAAATGTAAGCCACAGAATACGTGGAGGTAAGGATGAAGTGCAAAACACTGTGTACAGGGTTACGGTGCTGGAAATTAACCTGGAAGATGATAGTGTCTGCTCGGCAGTGCTACTGAAATAACCCTTTCTCCTAGTTAGTATTTCAGGAAGTGTTTATAAAAATTTACGACTACTTTCTTTTGCAACTGCCTTTTAAGTTTTGGTGGGACTTTACGATGATAAAGCACATATTAATTAGTTGTTGTTGTTGTTTTTAGTTGACAAGGGCAAGCAGCGAAGTCCCAAAAGCTCGTGCATACAGACTCAAGCCGCCACAGATGTGCATTTGCCTGGCACAAAAACAGCCGAGTTGACACAGTACAAAACAAAATGTGAGGCCCAAAGTGGAATCATCCTGCAGCTGAAGAAATTCCTGACAAGCAGTAACCAGAAGTTTGAAGCATTAACGGTTGTGATCCAGTACCTGCAGTCTGAGGTAAAAACTCGCAGCTCATCAGTTGTGGCTGTAGTTTGTTAAACTCTTCTCAACAAGGGCTTCTGAAAATACTGATATACCGATGTGTAACATCTGTGTTTCCATTACAATGATTTCTGTTTTCCTGTGGAGGTAGCAGTAAACCTGCTGCTGGCATCAGTTGGATAGGAAAAATAAAAACCCCGACGCTTGAGTTTTATGGCCTCTTCGCTGCTTCGCGTCGTTTTTGGAAGAGAAGTTTTAAAATGTTTGTAGTCAGAGTCTCCTTTGGGGTTGAGTACCTTTCCAAATATGTGCTTCAAGTTCTGCCTTTGTAGGAAAGACTAGTTTCAACACATAATCTGCATGACCTTGCTTTGTTATCTGAAGTTGGATAGAAGAGTATATAAGGGGTAGATATGTTTTTGAGCTATTCAGAATAAAGTGTGAGTTATAATGATTGTATTTATTGCAATCCTGCATTATTGGTGGTGTTTTACAATTATGAACATTTCCTTTTAAAAAAAAAAAAATCTGGAATTTAGAGTGGAATTAGTCTGATGTGGTTTAATGTTTATTTGTTCTAGTCTGTTTGAAATACATAATGACCTAATCAGTTTGATACTACACTAGAAACTTTTGGTCTGCTTCAAAAACTTTTGAGAAGAAAAATCTGAAGTTAAGGAAATTATAAGAGTTATGGATTTACACTGCAGCAGTTGATACAGGCTTTAATAGCAGTTTCTCATGGACTTAAAATTAATGTTCCAAGATTGGTATCAATTTTATTTCAGCTGTTCCAATATGTAGTGATTTTACAGTCTGGTATACAAAAAAGGACTGATTTTTCTTATCATGCTGCCAGAAACATAACATTCTCTTCTTGTTGGATAATATCTGCTCGCTCTCATCTAAAAATACTGCATTTAAGTCCAAGTTTAGTTCAAGTCAGTAAGAGCAGTGGCTCTTAGCCAGTTTTGTGGGTTTGGTTTGGTTGGGTTTTTTAAGCTCTTGATTGGAACACCTTTCTCTGCTAACAAACTACTTTAAGATCTTCGAAGCAATTTGATACAGGATTTTTGGATGGCTGTCATCTAATATGAAATTATGAGATTTATGTGTGAAATTCTCACTGCTAAACTTCTGTGCAATCTTCTAATTACTGTATAATAAGCACCTTGAGTTTTGGTAACTTACGTAATTAAAGGTCTTGGCCTAGACTCTTCTCTCAAATATTTTGTATTGCAACTTTTTAAAATTCAGGAATAATTTATCAATGTAATATTTAATGAGAAGAAGCCTGCCATACATATTTACATCCTCCAGGCTATTTTACAGGTCATCTAGTCTAAACGTGATTTTTATTTTTTAAAGAATAACGGGAATGGTTATTTAACAGGAAAGGCAAGAAAAGAAAAAAAAAGAAAGAAAGAAAAAAGCGATGTTGAAGATAGAAGGAAGAGAGAACTGCACAGAGGAAACTAGTAATTTTGCTCTTTCTTCCTCTTCATTGTTCTTTTGCAGGTGGAAAGAAAAAATAAATCTTATTTCTATCAAATTGTATAAAATGAGTAATCTTGGAGAGTTAGGTCTAAGCATGTGAAACGGGGCTAAATATAGCATATTGATGTACTTTCATACCAGTTACTGGTATTGAGGTTGTTCTCTCCTTTCCCAGGATAAGCCAATGCTTGGTGAACAGTCATTGTCTTATTCCTGTGTACTTAACACAGGGGTGAGAAGGACTTTTCTGCCATGGTTGGTGTAAGGAATTTTTATAATCTAGTAGTTAGCTGGGGGAAATATCCTGTAGGATTTCTGTGTTTTAGGGAACACTGTGAAAAGCTATTTTGGTTTTGTGGTTTGCTTTGGTTTTGTTTGTTGGTTTTTATTTGGGGTTGTTTGGGAGTTTTTTTTCCTTTCTGGTGTGGTATGGAGTCTGGTATAGCTAGCTTAATCTCAACTGGCCATATATTTATTTTTCTGAAGTATCTCTTTGGGACCCCTTCGATGTAGTTTTCAAACTCTCTGGGTAAACTCGAGGAGAAGCTTGGAGTTAGGTTTTAGCTCGTAAGGCAGGGGCTCATAGCTGAACTGCTGCAGAACCAAATCAAAGTAGCTTTTCTGATTCAAAAAAAACCCAAATTAATCATGCTTAGCTGATTACATGAAGAAGAAAGCTGTGCTTCCATTCCTCCCACTAGAGCATGTGTGAAGTGACATGGTGCAGTGTGAGCGGAGGGAACAGCCTGCTGTCACCAGAGGAAGGTCCTGCTCTGGACTCCTGGCGCTGGTCTGTCCCTGCAGGAGGCTGGTTCAGCTTGCAACCACCAGAAAGCTAAGCTAGCCAAAGAGAGAGCATTTCTTTGCCGGCTTAGCGATGTGGACCGTCCTTACCAGCGGTCAGAGCCAGCGCAGGGTGAGACAGGGTCAAGGACAGGCTGCCTGGCCGACTGGAGAAAAGAGCTGGAATGAGCTGCAAAGTCGCTTTGAGGCCATGCAGCCCAGCCTGAGCCTCTTGGCAAAACCTGCCCCAGCGTCTCCCGCTTTCCCTGCAAAGCTGAAGTTAACTGGGAGGTGACTCAGCTGTTGGGTTTGTTTGGGTTTCCTTTCTTTTTTTTTCCAAGAGGTCCCAATGTATTTCTGCACAAAAGTTTAACATTGCTTCTCATGAGCTCATTTGAAATGAGATAGCTGCAAACAAAATCAGGACTTGCTGGCAATGACTTCTGTCAAAAATGCAGCCAGCCCATCTGGAGTGAAGTTGAGAGGCTGCTGTCAGAGGGTTAAACGAGATTGAGCAATGCTGCTGGGCTGTTTCTAGCTGAGCAGGAATCTCTAGCAAAACTCTGCCTGAGCTCAAACCTGTTTGTGGCAAGCATTATCTTGGAGCTGTCAATATTGACAGCTGTCTCTGATAATACCTGCACACTTGAGCTGTTGGAGTTTGCCCAGGGGGTTTCTGTGCTTAACTACCTTTACCAAGACTCTTCTGAATTTAAAAATCCTAAACCCACAATTCCTACCGCACAGGAGCTACTGTCGCACTGGGTTAATACCAGATGGAAACCCTGGTGGCATCCAGGATACTTGATGGCAGTGAAAGGTCTGGCTGGCGAGAACACCTTACTGTACCGAGTTTTTCCATTGTTGGCAGCTATATGTGCGCCAGCAGTGTTAGAAACACGCGTCAAACTGTGGGCTAATCACAAAAGCAAGCTTAGTCTTTCTAGACTTCTGCGTTCCTCCTGGCCCCCTGGTAACTGCTATGACTTCGTAACTATTTTCCTGTTTTTTAAGTTAAACAAGAAAGGAAAAGTGGCAGTACAGAGGAAGTGGTGAAATCGGCCATTTACAGTAAGTGCATGAAGTGCCAAGGAAAGCCATCTTCTGTTAACCTTTAACTGCATCGAGCTCTGAAATTTGCACCACTGCATTTGAGTTGATCTTTTAACTTCCCCTGGTATTAATTTTGCATATTAATTTTGAATTTATTTCTCATCTCTTCAGTAACAGAGGTGTTCACAGATGCTTTAAATACATGGTTTAGCATGTCTGCACCAAGTCAGGCCGTGGCTGCCACTCCTGCAGCCCTGTCCTCTCTTCCCTTGCCCTTGTTTCTGCACGGGCTGGTGCTCGCCTGGCCTCGAGGAGCCAGTTCAGGCACCCAGTCTGGAAGAAAAAAGAAATTATTATGAGTCTGGTTTTGTAGGTCTGTCCATACCCAAAGTGTTACGGGTATGCCCCCACACAGTGGTTCACTGCGGGATGGAGTGGGACTGAAGAACCACCAGTGCTGGGGTGGGAATGTGTGCCCGAGAGGTCTGCAGCTGTGGGTAGGAGCCAGATGCTGCCTTGGGAAAGAAAATCCCAAATTGGGATTGTTTTTGTGACGTCCTGCAAAAGGACGTAACTGGCTGATGAGACTGAGGCACCTCCTGAGGGGTGCGCAGCCCCTTCCCCTGCCTCGGGGCTGCCCTTGCAAGGCTGCCTGAGGGCTGCAGCTGGGCTTTTTGAACCTCTAACTCACTGCCAGATAAAAACTGACGCGTTTGGGGTTGGGGGGGCGTTTGCTTTAGCAGCACAGTACTAGCTTGGTTTTAAATCTGTTTTGGGTAACTTCTAAAGCAGTTTAAGGGAGATTTAACTTTGAGTGGGAAGGTAATGTATTCTTAGAGTGACTTGAATGGCTTTGTGACTGTTCAAAGTGTGAAGTGACAAATGCTACCTTTTCATCGTCTCATTTTAATGTGTAATTGCCACATTCAGAACTCTCAGGCTGTTAAAAAAAACCTTTAGATGGTAAAATGTTTAATTATTATAAACAACCATTTATGTTCTTCTAGTTTGATAAATGAACGTAATTAAGTGCTTCAGTAGCTCTTTCAACAGATACTGTTGAAACAGCTCAATCAACAGATTCTGCTGAAGAAACTAGCTACAAATTTGTGTCTGTGCTACAGAGATGAACAGAAATTAAATTTCGCTGTTGTGTTTCTCCTGGTATGGTTATGGGAAGACTGGTATTTACAGTTCAAACTTTACTTGGAATGACTGTGGCGACATCTTCAAGAAGTTTCCTTCATAGAGGGAAATGCCATTTGAGAGGTTATAGAGCCTTGACAATAATACGTGGCTACCACTAATTGTGGGTGTGACATGGAAGCAACGTAAGTAACGTGCTAGAAATTGTGTGGCTGAAACAGGCTTCAGTATTTCTAGGTGGAAATAGGAATTAACCATTAGTATATGAGCTACTGTGTGGCATTTCCTGACACATGGATGACTGTAAGAGTCAAGATACTAGTTTTTTGAGGAGCTTCTTAGCACTTTAAAGAGGGTTTTTTTGCATCTTGGAATATGCAGAGACATGTACCAGGAAAAAATTGTCCTGGCCTTTGGGGGAGTTCAGCAGAAAATGTTTATATTTATCAGATGAGACATGCATATCCATCTGAAGGAGCAGAAGGACACATTGCATCACTAAACCCAAAACCATTTGTAGTGAAAGGAAGGATTTTGGAACAGTCATATTTTTGGCCTATAAATCCAAACTGTATTGGCAGGCCTATTCTTTAGAGCAGTTGTCTTTTGAGTTAAATTTGTAGTTTTGGTTTTCTAGAACCTAACATCAAACTTGACTGGGTCTCATTAGGATCTTCATCCAAAGTGTACTTCTGTACACAGATAGTGTAAATCTGGCTTTCCGAAGTATGTACGTGACTTTTTGCAAGAGAGAGTAAGGATATTTAATTTAGATAATTTTTGTGTTTCTTCAGATTAAAAAAAAAAAGTCACTTGGAACATAAACCAAAAGACAGTATCTTGAATTTGAGGAATTCAAGTTTCTTCTGTTCAGTAAAGGAAAATATATGAGAAATAACACAGTAGCTTCCCCTGGAAAGCAAACCTAGGCTCTGGCAGCTTGCATCTGACGGGTAGCTGGAAAGCAAGGAAGTTTCAAATTATTCTCAAGGTCCCTGTGAGACATGGCTTCTAAGCTTGGCAACAAGTTGAAGGTTTGTGAGCTTTAACATACAGAAAAACATTTTAATCCATTAATTACTGTGAAACTAGGCTCTGGTGGAAATAGTTTTTTAGAAGACACCTCAGTTAAGCAATTTATTGGGTACATCTGGGTGTTCAGATTGAGTTACAGCTGGAGGCAACTGGGAGTCCTGTCCTGCAGCTACTCGCAGAAGGTGTGTTGAGAAAAGACACGTTTGACTCTGAAACAAGTTTGGTGTTTCAGGCAACCCGTGTTGCTTTCGACGATGAAGCTTAGTCTCATGATTACCTTGTTATTTCTCCTAATGTACTTTTTTCAAGAAGATGCAGAATTAATGACAGTAGCAAGCTAGATATATCTATTACCTAGATATATAGATAGGGTTAATGGAAGACAGAAAATAACATCTTTGCTGCTTGTTTTCCTCTCGTACAGCCTTTTCAGATGAAATGCTAAACAGCCTTAACAAGGGAACGATGTAAGACAAATATTGTAATATTGTGCAAGCATAGGATCTCGTATCCTAACAGTTCACAGAACCTTATAAAGATAATTATAATTTTATAAATGCGAGGACCTAAGTTGTGACAGTATAACTTGTTAAAGCTGTATGGTATCTGATGGAGACTTTGTCTCACACTCAGATGAGATGAACAGAGACAAAAATTGTTTAATACTGAGAAATAAGTAATTGCTCAGATAAGGTAAACTTACTTTTTTTTATGAGATCAGAATTTTTGCAGGGAAGAAAGGAGTCATTCTATGTGACAAGTGAAAACTAATAACAGACATGAGAAACCCTGTAAAATAGAAAATAGGCTGTAACAGAGAAGTAAAGTTAAATAGCCCACCTGGACCTAACTTTGTAAATTTATGCATGAAAGCGGACATCACTTCTTCAAAATGGGAAAACAAAGATCCTATATGAGTGTGAGATCCCATGTAAAGCTTGTAAAGGCATAAAGAGCCAGCAAGTGTAAGATCCTTGTTAAATATTGACTCATAGGAATCCTGTTTGACTGGCTCTCTGCTTTAATGTTTCACGAACTAAACATCAGGGAATAAACATCTGATTCTCCATGAATGTACCTAGCAAATGAAAGAAGTAAAACATTAGAAATTATGTGAATCTCTATCAGCTAATCTCCTAAGTGTTGTAGTCTGAGGCTTAATTGAATTCCATTTGAAGTAATAAGTCAAGGTTAAAATTGATTGCGTATTTCATTTGGTAAGAAGGCAACACATACACTAACAAATGCCAATAGTAATTTGGAAATAGTAGTTTCACTGTAGCTTTTTTTTTTTAATTTGAGATGGTTAATGGCATTTTTGCTTTACTGCAGTAATAGCCTACTCCTCCATTCAAAAATGTACATGGAGCAGGGGATTAAAGCCTGTTTGCCATGCCACTCCCTTGGCTCATTCCTTTAGCTCGCTTTTACCTATGAGTGATGCAAAAGAAATGATATTTTAAGGGTTTTTTTTTAAAGGGTGAGTTTAAAAAAAATCACTTCTAAAATTGTTGACTTCTAATTAGAAGATTTATTTAGAAGATTGGGTTTTGCCAGCGAAGAAGGAGCAGGAACTGGTAGAAATACTGTAGTATAAGGACCAAAATAATTGAAGCAAATGTCATACTGCAAAGCGGATATGAATGGCCCTTTTGTTACCTCTTCATAATTACCTCCAGGCTATAGCTGATGACACACGAGTGACTGGAGTTTATGCAAAGATGTGACTCAATTTCTACATTATGGCTAATGATGATGCTCATTTTTTCATGACTGGTGTGGCACAAAGATGGAGTAGACTCCAGCTTCTAATGCTTTGTCCACAAGAGGAGTATTTGCTCGGATGAAAAAGACACATCCTGTATTAAGAACTGTTGGCAACTGAGACTGCATCAGTATTAAAAAGTTAAATGATAATCTGTTCTTCCATACAAACTAAGTCCATCTCCTGTGAGGTCTAAGCATTTCTACTACAGAATGATAATTTATTATTTTTTTTTAAGATGCTCAGTATTTCTCTCTGAAGCTTGATTTTTAGAAGTGCTTGTGGTTTGAACTAATGGTTTTAAAAAATCAGACTTTCCTTTCCCAGAATAAAATTAACGTGACCCCGTGGATGACAGTAAAACACATTTAAGTGCTTCCTTTCCGTTTTATACACTCTGAACAAATTTTATTTAGTCTGGTGTAATAAAATGCTTCTTTAAAAAGCGTCATAATGTTTTTATATTTGACGCTTTATGTTCTCCTCCCTTCAGTCTTGACTCTTGAAATCACTTGCTTTGTATGACTTGCTGATAAAACTAGAAAGCTGATGTACAGCCTTCCAGTTCAGAGCCGTTTCCACTTGCCAGTTCTGCCAGTGGCAGGTAGAGTTGCTGCCCTTGGCGTGTGGCTGCTGGCGTGCCGTGGAGTGCTTGGCACCAGCATCACCTGGGCCTTCCTCCACCTTCTCTGGGCAGGGACCACTTCTCATCCCAGCCTTGAGAGGGGAACATTCCAGTATGGTCGCTGTATTTTTGTGTCATGGGAAGAGTCCCATGACACAACCTGATTCCCTGGGATATTTCAGGACCTAGAAGTAGGTTGTGTCTGTTCCTTTGCAATGTACTTGTGTGTTGCAGTTTTTGGTTCTAGCAATGCATAATTCTTCTTCTGAACCTGTTTATGGATAGAAGATAGAAGGCTTCACACAGGTACAGTTTTGGGGTAGGTCTGGGATTCATCCACATTTATCTGAGGATGAAAAATTGAGTGAGGTGGTGTTGCATGGGGTAGACAGGGCAACTATGATAGGTAGCTTAGCACATAGATACTGGTATGACATAGCTGCTTGA